GTTTGTTATTAATTTTGGAACAGCAAAGAAATGAATCTATTACCTTTTGATTCAATGACGTTTCTTTATTGCTACCTTCAAAAATGACCGTAATTTTAATATATTGCTTCATCATGACCATTGACCAATAAACTTGCTATATCAAGCTGATCTGCAAATAAAAAAATCATTGAGATTTTAAAGAAATTATTATTAAAGAAATACATGTATGCAAACTGAATTAAAAGCAGATTCCAGATATATATTTCATGCTGGGGAAAATTATGTGGCCCATCAGGAAATCGTCCATCCTTATTTATCATATATACTAGTATACATGTAAAAAAAAAAAAATATATGAAAACAATTGTGAACATCTAAGTTTTTTTTTTCAAGCGTCGTGGGTAAAACATCACGAATCGACCGTATGATTATAACAGATTACAATACAAGTTGTTCAGAATTAAGTGTAAAATTTAAACATTAATATGCAAAATTTACAGAATAAAGTGTAAAATATACAGATTAAAGTGTAATTTTTTACAAATTAAAGTGTAAATTTTACGTTTTAAGTGTAAAATTTACAGATTAAAGTATAAATTTTACTAATTAAAGGGTAAAATTTACAGATTAAAGTGTAAAATCTTCACTTTCAACTATAAAATTTTCAGATTAAAATGTAAATTTTAAAGTGTAAAATTTACAGATAAAAGTGTAATATTTATAAGATTAAAGTTTAGAAATAAAAAAAAAAGTTTTCAATTGACACTAATACGCTTCCGTAGTTTTGATATACTAGTAATCCATGAAAAAATGTTACTGCATGCCCATTTATAACGATAGTATTAAATTTGACAGATATATGCCAGCATTTTTGGACATTTTTGTGAGTTTGGTGTAACATTGTACTTGTCTATTTGAAATGTTTGGTGATCTTTGAATCTTTGAATATTTTTTAGAATTTGATTCAGGTTGTAATTTTACTTTCAAACAACGAGGCCCATGGGCCACATCACTCACCTGAGCATTCCCATGACCAATCATGGCTTTGCTTTTCTTGATAAGATGATTTTTCAAGAATTTTCCTATATATTTCTAGGTAAAACTTTGGTCGGCCATTGTGGCCCCGCCCTACCCCTGGGGGTCATGATTTGAAGGCACTTGAATCTACACTACCTGAAGATGCTTCCATATAAATATGATCAATTATGGCTTTGTTACTCTTGAGAAGAAAATTTTAAAGCATTTTCCTATATATTTCCATGTAAAACTTAGCCCTACATATGTACCCCCGGGGCTCATGATTTGAGCAAACTTGAATCTACACTACCTGAGGATGTTTCCCCATAAGTTTCATCTTTCCTGGCACAGTGGTTCTTGAGAAGAAGATTTTCAAAAGATACCACCAAATTTCCATTAATTCCCAATTATCTCCCCTTGAATTAAGGCGTGGTCCTTCATTTGAACAAATTTGAATCCCCTTTACCAAGGGGTGCTCTATGGCAAGTTTGGTTGAAATTGGCCCAGCGGTTCTTGAGAAGAAGTCGAAAATGTAAAAAGTTTACAACGACGACGACAAAGACAGACAACGGACAAATTGTGATGAGAAAAGCTCACTTGAGCCAATGTAGCAAGAACCACAGAATTGCAACCATTTCGATCGTATCAAAAATACAAGACCTAAGATCTATGAAGATGTGCTTTAAACATTGAAATATAGACATCACTGAGTTTATTTGATAAATAATATGACAGGTTATACTGTAATAAGCATAACTTATTTAAAGAAATATAAATTAATTAATACGGACAATATATTTAGATGTCTTTCTTTGGTTGTTAGCACGGGAATAAATGCTTACGCAGGTTATGCATATTTTTCTGCAACAGCTGCGACATTCATTACCGTACTAACAACAAACAAGAGGCCCAGGAGCCACATTGCTCACCTGAGCAATTGGCAAGGAAAAAGCACACATCAGATCAGAACTGAAAGTTTACTGGGTGGGGGGGGGCTTGAATTCTAACCCCCCAGGGGGTCATGATTTGAACAAAATTGAATCTACACTACCTGAGGATGATTCCCTATAAATATCACTAAGCATGGCTTTAAAGTACTTGAAAAGAAGATTTTAAACGGTTTCCCTAGATATTCCTATGTAAAACTTTGATCGACCATTTTGGCCTCACCCATGATTTGAACAAACTTAAATCTACACTTCCTGGGGATAACTCCACAGGAGTTTCATCTTTCCTGTCTCAATGGTTCTTGAGAAGAAGATTTTTCCTATATATTCCTATGTAAAACTTTGATCGGCCATTTTGGCCCCACCCTACCACCAGGGGTCATGATTTGTACAAACTTGAATCTATACTACCTGAGGATGATTCCATAGGAGTTTCATCTTTCCTGGCCCAGTGGTCCTTGAGAAGAAAATTTTTAAAGATTTTTCCTATATATTCCTTTTTCAAACTTTGATCGGCCTTTTTGGTCCCACCCTACCCCAGGGTCATGATTTGAACAAACTTGAATCTATACTATACCTGAGGATGATTCCATAAGAGTTTCATCTTTCCTGGCCAAGTGGTTCTTGAGAAGATTTTTAAAGATTATTACTATATATTCTTATGTAAAACTTTGATCGGCCATTTTGGCCCCACCCTACCCCTAGAGATCATGATTTGAACAAAATTGAATCTACACTACCTGAGGATGATTCCACATGAGTTTCATCTTTCCTGGCCCAGTGGTTCTTGAGAAGAATATTTTTAAAGATTTTTCCTATATATTCCTATGTAAAACTATGATCGGCCATTTTGGCCCCACCCTACCCCAGGGGGTCATGATTTGAACAAATTTGAATCTACACTACCTTAGGATGATTCCACATGAATTTCATCTTTCCGGGACCAGTGGTTCTTGAGAAGAAGATTTTTTAAAAATGCCATTAAATTTTTCTCTAATTTATAATTATCTCCCCTTGGAAAGGGGCGTGGCCCTTCATTTGAACAAACTTGAATCCCCTTTACCCAATGATACTTTGTAGCAAGTTTGGTTGAAATTGGCCCAGTGGTTCTTGCGAAGAAGATGAAAATGTGAAAAATTTACAACAACGACGACAACGACAGACAACGGACAAATTTTGATCAGAAAAGCTCACTTGAGCCTTTGGCTAAGGTGAGCTAAAAAGCATTCTATTGTTTATCTAATTACCGAGCTCTATGATAAACGTGATGACTTTTACTTTTCTATCGTCAACTTCCCTCACTTATGCAGCAATATAATGGTATACCTTCATCACCGGAGTTTATGCATGTATCTCAGATAATTCAATTACTTGCAACCACGTTTAAAGTCAACATTTGGTAAGTTCTATGGTCGATATAATGACCTTGTCGGCAAATACAATTTATCATTGAGTCAAATGTTGACTGGCGTTTTTCATACTGTACTAATATTGTTAGTCCATTAATTATATACACTGTATACGGAATTTTCCTTATTTTTCATTGTACCATGTAAGGTCATTCTTTAAACGAGTTCTCTTGGGTTTTCTAGAGTTCTCTGTATAGTAGGACCGCTTTGAGGTCAAAATCTAGTAAATGACTGAAGACCAATTTTTTGGTGCTATATACATTATGACGTCATAATCAATTTCAACTTTCTTTGTCCCGTACTTTGCGTCGCAGGTTCCAATCCCAATGTGGTACGTAGAGACCGGTCCTTCGGATGAGACCGTAATAACGAAGGTCCCGTGCTGCAGTGGGTGCTTGCAGAAAAAGATCCTTCAATGCTAAATGGCCCTGAGTGACGAGTATAGAACAAAATTCCCAGCTCTCAATTGGCAGGAGGTGACGTCTCCATATGAGTGAAAAATTCTGGAGAGTGCAATTAAACATTTTGAAATCAAACAAACGAGGATTAACTCAAAATTTCCTATTCAACCAACATCTACATTGTACACGTAGGAACTGGATGACACAAAAATATAAAATTGAGAAAAATATTACACCGACAATAATTCATAAATTTTATATATTGATAAATTTTCTGACACTCAATCAATAGATGAATCATGTAGAAAATAGAGTACTTCAATGAAATCCTATGAAAAGTAATCCCGATACCTATATTTAATTTTTCATCTTGTTTACCTACAAATCACTCCCCGAAACACCTTATTTGACCAAGCTAAAGTTGTGAAGCATCATTAAAGGAATTTATTTCTCAAATTAGATAAATCTGTACAGACATCTTTCATTTACTAGATCTTAATTGATCAAAAAAAAAAAAGAAAAAAAAAGTAAAATCTGCTTGGCAAGCATAAAACGACATATATATGTATTTGACGGGGGAATTATATATTTTTTGAGATATTGTACACTCTTACATTTTTTTCATTAAGAAAAGGGAGGGGGGGTATTATCCACACTTCAGGTGCCTGTGGTTCAACATTCTCAGTTAGGGTTTTTTTCTGCCTGCCCCCCCCCCCCTTTTCAAAAACGAATGCTCTACGCCCCTGGGCTCCACGAAATTTCCATCACATCCCTCCCGTCTTCCCCATTACCCAACGGTCTCAAAACAGCATATTTCTTCTTGGATCCGCCCCCTAGTATTCTACAACATGTTGAAAAACAAACGAATAAACGCATTGACAACAGTTAAATAATCACACGTCAGTTGTTTAATAAAAATGAAAATCGGTTCGGGTTACCGCATTAGCAAAAAAATAGTTACGTTCAAGGTAGTCTGAGGTTTCATTTTTTTTTCACGATTTCGATAGGCTTGATGGATTGATGGGGAGGGGAATGGCCCCCTCCGAGCTCGGTAAGGCAAAAACACAATCATTATATATTTCCACTCGCTCTTGAAACGTGATGAACGTGATTGCAATAGTCAGTACTAATGACACACGAGACACAGGCAATTAAACACACGAACAAACAATGAACTTGAAACGTGTCTCCCGTAGACGCAAAAATCCATCCGGGGCGAATAGTAACCAATCAGAAAAGACCTTACATAATCCCCGTGAGATTTTTGCAAGGTGAAGGTCGCGAGACTTTTTTTGCAAGATCAACCTATATACGTGTTAGTGTTGTTGGCCTTATTGTCGATCAATATAGCTGTTGTCATTAAGTACGGTGGGCGGACTTCGAGAAAAGGGAATGCAGTCGGTCAGGATTTTCTTGCAAAATGGCAGAGGGGCGTGCATATCGTACTCTAGCCGCATGTTTTCTTCCTCCTCACGCGCGGATCAAAAATCTTACAAACTTGTGGTGGTGGGCGGAGGCACTGGGGGATGTAGCACCGCCGCTCGATTTTGTCATCGCTTGGGAAAAGGGAAAGTAGCTGTGATTGAACCATCTGAGGTAATGTTCTTACACTTTTGAGGGGTGAAAAAGTGTTGTCACACACGCCGCTAAGACGTGTTATTGAAAATGAAAGTAGAGCTCTAGGCCATTCATGTTTACAAAGATTAATAAGATAACACAAAGTGTCACTGCGCAGCAACTATACTGGTACAGTGATTTAAGCAGTTCCGGATCGTAACGTGAAAAACACTCGGTAAATTATTTATGCAGGAGTTGTGTTTGATTTCTACACTGAATTAAATAGTCCTTTATTTACTCTTTCAACCCATATTAATAGTTTGTTTAAAATGTTATACTTAATTATCCAAGTTGTCCAATTAAATCATGCTGGAGTTCAAGCAGTTTAGATGATTTCAAGTAGTTCCGGTTTTCGCCACCTATCGGTGTTATTTATAGTTGTAACAACAAGGATCGTCTCAAAATTCATTTTTAACAATCAGATCTAAGTTAATATAGACAATAATTTCTTCAGGCCTGAGCTCGAAAATGGAATATTATTTAAAAAGAAGAAAAGATCATATTTCAACAACTTTATTTAAGATAAAAAAAATAAAATTTTAAAAAAAATAGGAAAAACCATATCTTGGCAGTTGGCACAATAAAAATCAGAAAATATTGCATTGAAAAAGACTAGAAAAAATCATCACAATAAAAATAATCACAGGATTGTTGTTCATTTCATACAAAAAAAGATACAAATACATGTATGTCCTTAGCAGAAAAATGCCCCTTACATGGTTTATCAGTTCAGTTTAGCAATTGTTTCATGTTGCATTCAAATACAAGTGAAGTTCATAAACTTGTATTTGAATGCAACATGAAACTTTGCTTTTAATATATATAGTGTTAAGTTTTACATAAAAATATCTTGATTTAATAGTTTCTTTTGTTTGAAAGTTAATTAGAAAGCTGCAAATTTGAGAAAAAAAAAGATCAAGGTAAAAAAAAAAATGATGCAGCTGAATACCTCTAACTATATATGTGTCAGCAAATGAATTAAGTTTGATAAAAATGTCTTGGAAAAAATTCTTTGAAACTGAGCTTTAAACACAAAGTGTCACAGATTGACATGCAGACAGAAGGACAGATGACGGACATGATAAAACTATACATATAATATGCCCCAGCCATATTTATGATGGGGAATTTAAAATGTAGGTTTATCCATAGAGGTGCACTAATGAACATTAGAGGCTCATATGTCATGTCTAGATGAAAATGGAGAAATTTATGCAGAGGTAACACTAACGGATGATCCAATGCCTTGGCCAGCTCCATCAGAATGTGGTGGAGGTCTCATATCAAATATTTAACTTGCTCATGTGATACAGTGGAAAACAATATTTTAATACGATTAAACAGATAACAGCTTTCTTTAGTAGATATAAGGATAATAAAGGGGATTTTCTGTTTGGTTCTATGTTTGATTTCATGCTAATAAATTTACAATTCTTGTACTCTTATGTACTCACCCTCTGGCATATTCATTAATGATTCTCTTAACAAGTTCATTACAAATGTTTTCTTGGCATGATAAATATGAAATGTACACGGAATCACGACACCTCCACCACATTCTGATGGAGCTGGCCATGGGGGAAAACTAGGCATTGGAGCATCCGTTACCTCTGCATAAATTTCTCCATTTTCATCCAGAATTGTCCGAAAAGAAGTTGACAAGCCTTTCGGTACATGCCCGATCGGAAGGTCTGCTACATCTTTCAGCCGTAACCCTCTTTTGGGATCAGTGATGGTTTCATGAAGTTCTTGGTTGAAACTAGTAAGTGGTGGAATCCAAATCAGACATGCGTTAGGATCGTGGACATTTGTATACTCTCTATCCACTGGCAACATTGTGCACGGATCCGTATCGGGTGGTCTAATTTCGAAATGGTGATAACCCTTTATCACACAGTTTTGTAATAAAAAATGTTTCTTTTTACTTTGTGATGAATTCAAATTTACGTCCACTCCTGATCTTTGTTTTGGAATCATCTTCTGAAAAATTAATTTTCAAAAATTACTTTGCAATCATTTCATAAAAACATGCAGATATATATATCCATGATTAAGTTTTGATAAATGTATATGAAGATATAAAAACATTTACATGCCATTCTATGTATTTAGGTACATTTAGGTACATTCGGGACAAAGGAAAGGAACCGACTCTGAATCGGGAATGGTGGTTTCACAACATTCAGTGTGAATCCATTGCTGACACACATCGCACTGGATCCAAATATTTCCGGCTCCAATTGCCTGATCCTCTTTCCACGACATATGACATCCAATGCATTGGACATCGTCATTTTCTGCAGTCTTGATTTTGCTTGAAATCTTTGACTTTTTACGGCTTTTTGTTTTCTCTGACAATTTCTTCTTCATGAAAATGGCTTTAGCTTTTTTTTCCTTTGTTGCAAAATTTCTAATCTTTTCCAAATCTTTTAAAGCCATCAATCGGAGGGATTCAGATGATGTTAAATTGTCTGGCAAAATGGATTGAATAGATGTTCTCTTTCTCTTATTAGAGTCCTGAACATGAGGAAATGTTAACATGTCCTTTAACACTGGAGATATACCCGTACTTGTACTAATACTAGTACAACACTGGTCTGTGTGATCCTCACTATTGACTGCAACTGAGGCTAGCAATTCTAGTCCTGATGGTATCTCAGGATGAGACTCCTCATTGGGACTGTCAGGTAGATGTGATTTCTTATACAATTTCTGATATGCATCAAAACCTGGTGATTTTTCTTGTATGTCATATCCCTCTTTCATCCGTCTTTCATACTTTTCTCGAACTGGTGTGTTTAACACACTCTGAAAGGCCTCAAATGCAATCTTCATCTTTTCATCTTCTTTAATCTCCTTTGTTGTTAATTGTTTTTCTTGGTTTGCCAATTGTTCATCAGGTATTGCTGTTGTAAGTGAGGTATGATCAGTCATTGTACTTTCAAATGTTAAACCACTCTTCAGCTGGTCCTCCGAGATGACATTTCCATCTACAGGATAAATTCCAGAGGATTTAAAACTGTTTATAACAGTTAAGGGCTTGTAGAAGAGTAGAAATGCTTCTTTAAGTTTTTCAGCAAAGTTCTCTTTTCCAACTGGTGACCCTGGATTTTCACGAGTGTGCTTTCTCACTACTTGATGCCATCTTGCCTTAAGTGGGCCAAACACACCCTTGTCAAGAGGTTGCATGACATGGGTTGCATTTGGCAATAGACGATATAACTCTATTCCACATTTTTTAGCATGTTCAAAAGTTGCCATGTCAATGTGACTACTAACACTATCAAATAAAAGCACTACAGGTCGTTCACTTCCTGCATAAGTGTTGAAATGCTCTAGGAAAATTCTGAATGTTGCAGAATCCATCCAACCCTTCTTGGTGTATGCAATTGCACTGTCTTTCACAGCCCCTGTCAAAGGATTATACCCCTTGGGTTTTGGTTCTGGAAAAATGATAAAAGGTGGTATCATTTGCCCATTAGCTGCACCACAGAACATAACAGTAAACCTCTGTTTGCTGTGTCCACCAGCTACATGTGGGACTTGGCTTTTCTTGTTAGGGCCTATGATTTTCCCAGCTATGCTGCCTACACTAAAACCAGTCTCATCAGCGTTCCACACTCGTCCTGGTTTGTCAATTAGTCCTTTCTCAGTAAGAAAAATCTTGAATTTAGAATACCAATTATCAGTTTTCTCCTTTGTTAATTTTGCTCTGCATGTCTCTAGTGGAGTTTCTTTTCTAGTCTTTACTATGTGAGAATTTCTTGACATAAATTTGTAGTACCAGTCATAGCTTGGCCTCTTGTTTTTAAATGGTGTCTTTCTATTTTCCCTTCTGACTACAGTTTCAACAAAATCCAAAAATTCACTTGGTTTCAAGCCCATGCCCCTCTCAGCCATTTCACTAAGCCATTTTGCCATAGCTTCTTCCTCCTTTGCACTGAACACTGTTGATGGTCCATTTCTACTGTCTAATTCAACTTCACCAGAGATTCTTCTTCTTAAAAACCCATAAGACAACTTGTGTTTTACAGCAGAATGAGTAATAGTTACCTTATTTGTTTTGACATCATAGAGTGCTCTTCTCACTCTTTGTCCTCTTGATGGAGATTTAGGATATTTTCTACCAGCTTTATATTTTCTGGTAACAGCTTCTGCTGCCTTAGCTGCTGGACTAATTCTTACTGCCTTTTGATTTGAAAGAGTTTTCTTTTTTCTTCCCATGACTGATATATAGCAATTGCTGCAAACACTGAAAATAAATAAATGCACTCAATATATACTGTTTAATTTAATGATATTGTTCATTCTATACAGTTTTTTTAAATTCAATTTTATATTTAACTGAGAGAGAGAGAGAGAGAGAGAGTGAGAGAGAGAGGATAGTTAAAGCCATGACTTTGAAATTTATAACACTTTTTCAGCCTTTTCAAATCACCATAATTTATCATAAAACTCTGAATGTAAAATGAATTCATGTTTCTGACTTTTTGTTTATGCTACAGTGCTTTAAGCAGTTCCGGATTTTAAGCAGTTCCGAATAATTTTAATTAAATAATTAAAATTATGCAAACATAAATGTTTCTGTTTCTAATGATTCTTTACATAAATGAAGCTTTATGTATTGTCCATACTCTGGATGACATAGCGAGATCAAGAACTCTGTCTTTCTTACCGTGTCCAGGCTTTTTGTTTACAACCGCAAGCGCTTAAGTGACGTTGACCGACATTAAACACGTGCTATCTTGAAAGTAAAGACGTGCTCTGAAACTGTGGTAAGGTATGTATTTCATTTAAGATATGTGAATGAAACATTGATGTATCTTCTTTCTCATGAAATTTCGGTTTCATTAAAATACGACGTAAATCCAGAATAAAGAGCAATATTCACAACATGCCATTTTAAGCAGTTCCGAATTAACCATATACGGGGTTGTCTCAAAAGAGCTGGTATAACAAACAAGAGAAAATACGTAAAC